TTTGCTTGGTTTTTCACGTTTAGGTAGTAGTGAAGTATCTTGCACAATATTTCGGCTTTTCTTTTGAAAAACGGCCCGAACGAAATGTTGAGGAGCAAGTTTTGGACTCAAGGCTTGTGTGTATTCCATTTTCTTGCCTTGTTATTGCTGTGTTTGCCCATTTAGAGATATTTTATATTATTTTAGTCAAGTCTTTCAATTTCAGAGTTGTTCAATCGCCGAGAACGCGATGCATGAAGAAGAATTCTCTTCATTCAAATTCCTTGGCAACAAGATTCGAGTCAGGGACGTTATCTATGGGATATTCATGTAAGATAATGTGTTATTTACTTTTTTGCTAAAATTTTCGGTACGTAATTTCTCAGCCCCTATGCATTTAGTTTCAGACTGGGACTTGTCTTCGCGAATCAATGGCTCTGCGAGGGAAACGACGGGTTGTACACCAGCATATTGAACAAAAACTTCACGATTAATATGTTTTATTGATGTATTATGTAATAAAAGATATATTACAAGATTAATTATATTCATTTTGAAACATATTTAGATATAATTACAGATGCATGTCGACACGCTGGTTACTTCATCTCCATGGATCGTGTTCCAGGCGATTGAACAACTCTGAAATTGAAAGCTTGACTAAAACAACATATAAAACACCTCTAAATGGGCAAAAACAGCCCGAACAAGCAAGAACATGGACACAACACGAGCCTTGAGTCCAACACTTGCTCCTCAAGGCTGCTCATGTGCTGCTTTTTGGAAGAACCGCATAAATATTGTACATGATCCTTCACTACTACCTAAACGTGAAAAACCAAGCAAAAACCAAGAAAAACTTACATGAGACTTTCCCCAAGAGCATCCGAATGAGTGTCGGCAGGATCCACGTGAACAAGAAGCGTTTTCAGCAACTTTGGAACATGAACTAGCTCAAACTTTCTTCAATTTTGTATTTTCGAGAAAAATTCTCGATTATTTTTTGTATTTATTTTTTTCGCGGGATTTTCGCAACTTTTGGCGAGGCGCACCTCCAAGCCGTAAAAACTCGATTCAAATGTAGTTGGTGGGGTCCTTTAAATAGGCTTTAATTTTATAAGAGGTGTTGTCTTTCCACATGACTAACAACTAAATTCCTCAAATTTAGTGCCATCTCCGATCAATACCTCGGCCTAATCACAACGCTCACCAAAGGCGTTGAAAACGTCACTCCTTTTGTGGCGTTGGAGGCCATCAACCTCTATGAGCGCTTCAAGAACGAGTTCGCAAACACATACGAGTACGATCTGTATACAGTGAGTTTATCAATGTAGTAACTTTGTTTTTTAGAAGTATTTTGGCCACTTCTTGGTCGACGTTTACTCGGAAGGGTTGTGGGATGACAGGAGCATCCGCAAAGGGTATGTTTCTGAGCTTTGTTTTCAGTCTGTCGGAAAAATAATGAGCACTCTGTCGCATCGAAAATCGCATCGCCACCGAGAAAATGAATTGTGTTGCGGCAAAATCAAATTGCTTTTCACTTCAGCGACATGATCAGCGTCATTCTGTACTTTTGGGACACAACCGGTCTCCATGATTTTTTTCTATTTTTTCAAAGTAGACCTCCTTCTTTAATACATTGCTCGCTAGCCGTTCAAGACAGAGACTTGAAAATTGGCATGGGTATAGAGTAAAGGTTTCGCTTCCAGAATATATAAATATTGTAATGAACCACGCGCTGTAGGCTCCGCAATAAGATGCGAAAATATTTCATTCTTAAAACTTCTTGCACCTAAAAGGTCATTTTGCAAGATCGAAGTGACAAATTTTAAAATGCTGATGCTCATTATTTTCCCGACAGACTGATAATACCGTTTTCAGCTTCTATTCCAAACCGTTGTTGTTTGATCTCGTCGTGGAAGACCTCGCAAACGCCAGACATGAGGCTTTGGAGAAGTTTGGGAAGTTTAGAAAGGCTTGTACTGACAGTGATATTGAGACTTGTAATACGTAAGTCGCAGCAAGAATCGAAAAAATTACTACGCTTTTTCGGAAGTGTCTACAGTTTTTGTCGCAGCGCCTAGTGCATTTCTTCTTGTCGGTGGCGCACCATACATCTTGCAGTTGAAAAAGCACTTTACACTATGCAAAAGTCTATGCGCCTTCCAAAAAACGTATTGCAATTTTTCTAAAGTGCGTAGACTTTTTGCCATGGGCCATACTGTGTTCAAAACCAAGTATAAGCACGTTTGAAAAACCGCAATATTGCAGACGTGTCTGATACCGCTGCCTTTGATTTTAGGCTTGCTGCGGACACCCGGAGAGCTGTCTACTGCGCTGCCGCCGTCTCTGGCGAAGCCGGTGATATCCTCTTCCTGAGGGACTATTTGAAAAAACATGACGAAGTGAAAGACACTCTATTCTACTTCGAATACGAGTACGCCGACATCAACGCCGGACTGGCTTGTTTGAATGAAAAAGGTCTTAAAGAGTAAGAGTACAGTTATGAGTTGATAATGATATTTCTAGCTTCCTTGACGAGGCTGTTGAGAACAGCTACACCAAGTTCTTCGAGGCCCTCTTGGAGAACAAAAAAGATTATGTTTCAAAAGCCGTTGAGAAGTATCTAAATCATGTTGACTTGACGGAGAAGTTTGATGACAAACCAGAGCTTTTCGGAAAAGTTTTGGCTGTTTTAACAAAGAATTATACAGATGGAGAACGCTTGTATCATGTTCACGGCATCAGCAAGTTGAAGCATAATATGGAGCTGTTCAAGGTCTTGGCCAAAGCCGAAATAAAGATTAGAGACGTGAGGAAGGCGGAGGATGACAAGGAGAAGATTAGAGATGAGGTAAAACTCCCCTACAGCATATTGCTATTATCAGTCTGTCGGGAAAATAATGATTAAATTGTCGGATGCACAATCGTATTGCCGCTGAGAAAATTAATTGTATCGCAGCGAAATTAAATTGCTTTTCACTGCGACACGATTGGCGCAGCGACATTGTGCCCATTATTTTCCCGACCAATTAATATTATAATAGTATTTCCAAAAAGTGCATGGACATTTTGTCACGGTCCGCATCGTGCACAAGTAGACTTTGTTGTACACCGTGCGTGGAAAATGCAAAGTGTGTTAACGACAAGCGGCGGAAAAATTTCATGATGCACTTTGCGACAGAGGACAAATGTCCATGCACTTTATCAGTCTGTTAGGATATTCCCTGCACTGTGAGGAAACGAAAGTGAAAAAAGTCTTTTTTCTTGCTTCTTGTCGACCGCAAATGGCTTTTAAGAGCTGTCGTTTGCACCCCGATTTATGCGCACAGTGTCAACGCGAAAAAGCAGGCCGGCGATCTTCCGGAAGGACTAGTATTAGTCTGTAGGGAAAATAATGAGCACCAAGTTGCTGGTTCAGTCGCGTCGCTGAAGTGAAAAGCAATTTGATTTTATCGTGACACAATTCATTTTCTCGACGGCGATGTGATTTTCGATGCGACAGAATGCTCATTATTTCCCCGACAAACTGATATGATACCTACAAAAGAAGGTTACCATCGAGCTATAATACGATTACCGTAAAACTGGCAATACTGTGTTTTAGGTCCTTCGTTACATCTACAACAAGTACGTGCCGATCGGCAAGTCGGTCTGGTCAAAACGAGTTCCCCAATACGACTACGCAGATCTCCATTACACCTTGGACATTGAGCCGGACTATTCAACCGAGCCGATCAGCACTTACAATGGCGTTGTTACGGTAAGTTCTGTTTCGTATTCTCTTTTTTTGAGCAATGTTTTTTTGGTATCTTCAAGTTTTTAAGATTGAATTTACCGGCACAAAAAACGCGAAGACCTTCCACATCAACTCCCATCGCCATGTCATCAAGGAGTTGACATTCTCCATCAACAACTTGCCTCAAGCCACAAAGGTCTCGAGGGATTATGAAAATGGAATTGTCACACTTACTGCGGGGAGTGTGGTGCAGAAATACGACAAAGTAATCATTAGAATTGTGTACACTGGATACGTTTTCGACGAGCCACAAGGATTCTTCTATCAGCGGAGTGGAAATGAAAAGAAGACGAACAGGTAAACTGTAAAGCTTTGAAATTTCGATTCCCCGTCTGTCGGGAAAATAATGTGGACTCGTCGCAGAAAAATTCTCGCTTCTTCGCAGTCGAAGAAGCGAGAAATTGACCAAATCCACAGCCACGGAAACCCGTCTCCCCCCAAAACCCGGGGGAGATTGTTAATATTACAAGGGTCCAATTTCTGTTGCCAAAAAATTTGTAGGTACCCTTTCGTACTTCTGCGTATTCCCGTATCGTATTTCTGCGGGGCGGGGAATCTGCGCGGAACTGGGACGATTGGGGGAAAAAGACGATTGGGGAAACCTTTCTTCGGTGCAAATGTCGAAATTAGGATAATCGAGGGTGCTCATTTCTAAAATGACATTCATTTTTTTGATTCTTACTTTTTTTCTCAAGTAGTACTATAAGCAGTAATTTTTGCTTGTTTTTTCATAAATACTCGATTTAGGGGTTTTCGAGGGTGCTGATTTCGAAAATCATGTTCATTTTTTCTGAACTTTACTAGTTTTCTTTAAGTAGTACTGTTAAGCAGTAATTTTTTGAAAATATTCCAAAAATACTGAATTCAGGGGTTTTCCAAGGTGCTGGTACTACATCAGATAGTACTAATTAGTACTAGAGGAAAAGTCAACATGATTTTCGAAACCAGAAAACCCCTAAATCGAGTATTTATGAAAAAAAATCAAAAATTACTACTTTAGAGTACTACTTAAGAGAAAAAGTAAGAATCAAAAAAATGAATGTCATTTTCGAAATGAACACCCTTGATTATCCTAATTTCGACATTTGCATCGAAGAAAAATAATACTTTTCGGTTTCCCCAATCGTCACTTTCCCAAATCGTCTTTTTCCCCAATCGTCCAACTCCGAGTCTGCAAGCCTTAAGGCCGGAATAGGATATGGCAAATTATTAATCTATAATAATGAGCACTCTGTCGCATCAAAAATTGTATCGCCGCCGAAGAGATGGATTATGTGGCGGCAAGATGAAACTTATTTTCCCTTCAGCGACGTCAGCCTTTCGATGCGACATTGTGCACACTTTTTTCCCGACAGACTTATATTTTATTTTCCAGATTCTTCCTCTCCACATGGTTCCCGAAAGGCCCTGCTGCTCGCTCATTCGTGCCTTGTCTCGATGAGCCAAGTTACAAGGCTATCTGGACGGTCTCAGTAACCCATCCATCAGAATTGGTCGCTCTGTCCAACGGAGCACCCGACTCCACGACCTACCTCGGCAACAACCTTGTGAAGACCACGTTCAAGCCGTCTCCCAAGATTTCCAGCTATCTTTTGGGCCTTACCATCGGGCCATACGCGTCGATTCAAAAGACCACCGACGATGGAGTTGAGGTCAGGGTTTGGGCTGAGGTTGGGCTGGAGAAGTATGGGTATGTAGCGCTGAATGCGACTGTAGGCACCTTGAACTACCTTGGAAAGTATCTTGGGCTGTCTTACGCCGAGTTACATGACAAATTGGATTTGGTGTTGAACCCGGAATGGAATGGATTTGGCACCGAAAACTTTGGCGTTATCATCGGCAACGCGAATGTGCTGCTCTATAAAGAAACTGTTCACGATTTAGCGCACAAAAGGAATGCGTATAGGAAAGCGGCTCATGAGGTGGCTCATCAGGTCAGGAATTTATAATAGAAGTTTTCTTTAAGACAGTAAAAAACCGAAGGGTCCAAAAAATCTCTTTTGAATTTTCAAAGTCAGAGGAGACATCTTATACGATGAAAAATTTTGGTTCCTTTTAAAAAAACTAAGCCAAAGTCGTATAAAATGTCACATTTCACGTCGAAAAATTGATTAAAAGTTTCATCGTATAAAATGTCGGTGTTCATTTCAAAAAAAATTAAGCAAAAGTTTTATCGTATACATGTCACCTCTCATTCTAAAAATTAAAAATTTTTTTTCCATCGTATAAAATGTCACCCCCATGTTAAAAAATACTAAAAATTTTACTGTATAAGATGTCACCATTCATTTTGAAAATTGGAAAGAATTTTCCTTTCGTATAAAATGTCACCTCACATGTTAAAAAAATAAGTCAAAATTTCTTCGTATAAGATGTCACCTTCCATCCTGAAATTTCAAATTGCGGGACTTTCAAAGGTTCGGAAAGCGTGACTTTTCGGCCTGCTCTCCATTCAAAATATGAAATTTCATAGTACGGTAAAATATATCTTTCAGTGGTTTGGAAACACCGTCTCCTTCAAGTTCTTCAACTACGGATTCGTCAGCGAAGGATTCGCCAGTTTCTTTGAAACCGAAGTTGTAAACAGTGTGTTAGGTTGGGGTGAAGCCGAAACTGTCCACAATCTGGAAGCTGGACTGCATCTGGACGAGAATGCGAAAGATTTGGACACAGTAATCACTGCTGATAATAAAGTGCATGATACATTTAACTGGACAAAACAACAGATCTATACAAAGGCAGGTTTAGGGCGAACATATCGTTTTTGACTTGTAAATTCAGGCTCAAGGCATTCTACACTCACTGAAGGCAGTGGTTGGCGAAGATGCCTTCAAAGAGGCGTTGCAAAGGTATATCAGGAAGTTCAAGTGGGCGAGTGTGGATGATCAAGACCTGTGGAGCGTTTTCCAGGAGGTAAGGAGGTCCTTGAACATTCCTATAAACAGCCGGTCCCAGGCCCTTTTTCTCACATGCCTCTATTGAGAAAATGGGCCTTGGCGAAGCCGCTGGCAGCCGGCGAAACAAAGCATGGCTGCAAACCGGGCCGGGAAAATTTTGAAAGCCCGGCCCGGTTCGGCAAGGAAATTTTTTATACTAGGTTGAAGAGAAAGAAAGTGGGAAATGAAAAGAAAATTGTGGCAAATTTTCGCAAAAGGTCAAGACGAACTTATTATAGAAAAATCTATGCATAGTGCAATTGCCGCGTGAACATTTATATAAATTACAAAAATTGATAATCGTTAAGTGGGTCACACTTAAGAATTTTTGAAAATTTTTTCAAATTGGCTTAAAAATTATTTTTTATTTGGGCGAGTAGTAAATGAGGTAACCTTATGTTGGCTATCAGCGTTATGATTGAAAAATTCGGGGCTAAGGTAGTACAACCCCCCAGTCCAGTTCAGCCCCCCTTGACCCAGTATAAACCCCCTCATCCAACCTGAAGCGCCTACTCGGGATTGGGTTCTCTCGGCTACGATCATCGTTGCCTGAACCACAAGGACTAATTTGGACGTAACTGGGGGTTCGAGCTAAAACGCCGGGGGTCATTTTACTCTAATTTGCATTTTTTGTATTATTCTAATTTTTTAATTATGGGGGTGTGAAATGGACAAAACAGTGGGGGTTTGAACTACCTTTCGTGGGGGGCTGAACTACCAAAGCCCCAAATTCTGTCGAAGAAGCTTATTTTTTCCTTTTTTCCGGGAAAAATTCTGATTTCAATAAAACCGGGCCGGGCCTAAAAATCGAAGCCCGTGGTCGGGCCCAAAAATTAGTCGGCCCGGCCCGGGCCGGAAAATTCTGCAAAGCCCGGCCCGGAGCCATGCCTAGGCGAAACGGTCAATGTTTGTGGAATGTGCCCTCATGCTATTATGTAACTTACATGGAGTCATTGAAAAATATAAACTTTTCGCCCCTCAAAAAATCCATTTAGCTTGCCGATGCCAACAACATAAAAGATTGGAACAACCAGCCTTTGTCCATCAAAAAGTTTATGGACTTCTACACCCGTCAAGTCTCCTATCCCGTTACGGTCCTCCAACTCGACGGAAATACCGCCACCGTTGTCGAGAACGTCAATCTGCACAACGAAACCGACCTTCCTCCATCCGACGTTACCTACACCTGGCATACGCCTATTGTTTCGTCCAAGGGGAAGGTGAATTGGGCTGAAGTCGGCGCGAAAATTGAGAATTACGAGCCAGTTGGATATCAGAGTTATACGAGGGTCATCTACGAGAACGGCGATGAGGAAAAACTCAACCATCTTTACAATAGTGGAAGTGAAATTCAACGGGCCAAATTGATCTCGGATTATTTTAATTTGTTCAAGTAAGGGAATAACTTCTATCATTAGTAATATCAGTCTGTCGGGAAAATAATGTGGAATTTTCAAAGTAAAATTTCAAGCCTTGTCGTTGTGGCGACCAAACTCCCAATCGCGACTGGTCGTCTCAAAATAATGGGCAATTCCAAAGCGCCATGAAACCACATTATTTTCCCGACAGGCTGAAATTTTGACCACCATCTCTTTCTAATTGAACTTATATTATTCCATTTTGACACTGCGCCTTTCAGGTCAACCAGGTTCAGCGGACGAGTTGGATTTGAAAATCTTTTGAATCTCCTGAAGAATCTGGCCATCGAAGAGTCTCCGATTGTCTGGTCTTATGGTGCAGAAGCCCTCACGTACATATTGGAGAAATCGAAGGTCAATAAAGCCCGGCTTGAGCAGGCAAAGAAATTCGTCAGCAGTTTATTCAACGGACGGACTGGTACCGACGAGGCTGGCCAATGGAGAGAACGGTAGGCTTCAAAGAGAGCGATACAAGGCTGTCCGAAAAGTCACTGGAGTGATGTCGGCGACATGCACTGTGTATTTCTTCGCATTACAACGCGTTGTCTTGCTTTATGCACGCTGCGAAAGGCTTTTTTTGGTGTCGCTGACTTTTCATGCATGGTGCATGCCGCCGAACTCACTCCGAGCTGGCTATACATATACACCGTTACAAATATATGACTACCCCATGAAAAAGTTGTGGGGTAAGTATCTAAAGGTTGAGCTGTCAAAAAGAGCTTTCAAAAAACCGCTCTTGCAACTCAAAAGAGCATGCCAAAAGTTCTATTAGAATATGGAACCACTGGTAAAAAATTGATTGGTTTGCCAACTAAACATTTTTATGTCTTTGGCGGTTTAAAGGTTCACCAACCACTGACGATTTGTTGGCCAGTCTAGTTCGGTTTTTAAACTGACCCCATTTCATTTCATCATATAGGGTATACAGTAGCAGAAGGTGTATTACATCCATTTCAATTGCACATTATCCATGTAGTGGAAAATTTTTTCAGCCTGCCTCACATTCTCAACGTTCTCGCCGTCCGCATCAACGACACTGCCTTCAATAAATCGGCCAAGGAAGAGTTCGAAAAGTTTGTGACCAAATGCCTGCATAATGTCGAGAACGCGCTGGATTGCCGCCAAACCCCTCCCGAACACCGTGTTGCCGTCTTTGCCTCGGCTTTGGGTGCTATTGAGAACACCAAGGAGTTGCAGAGCCTTCGAGATTTCGCTGGAGGGCTTAAAAATCGTGTCTTCGCCAGAAAAATTAGGCAATTGCTGGCCGACGCCGTGGCGCACAGCCATTTGTCGACGAACAATGTGTTCTTTGTCACGTAAGAGAGGATTTACGAGGAGTTAGGCTTAAAATTGAGTGGTAAAAAGATTTTTTCCAGAACTGCTGATGTTCTGATAAATGATCCAGAAGAAGAGGTTGCCCGCTTCTTCGATATCAAATCATCTTTTGATGATACCCAAAACGAACTGGCCAAATGGGTCATCGATCACGGTTGGAAATTTGTGGACACGCCGCACTTCAAGAGCATCCTGAAGGCATTAGTCAAGGACTGGGCTTCCAAAGAGAAATTGGACCAAGTAAGTGGAAGAAAAAGCATGCACTAGTTGCGCCATAAATAAGAAAAAAACGTGCAGGGGAGGACCTGATCCAGTGGCAAAAAACGTATCATTTTGCATCCATGAAGTATCAAAAATGTGGCAAAATGCTTCCCTCTCCAAGTGAAAAAAACTCCGATTTCAACGGAGCGCAATAGGACCTTTTATACCATCAATGGGGCGAAAGTCTTTAGGAAAGGAGTATATTACGGGAACTGGACCCGAGTGATGCTCAAATAAAGGGCCGACAAGACGTTTCACTTTATCTGTCACAATAGCCAACAAACACACAAATACGAAGAGGTGAGAACGGCGAGCAGTGGTCGACCGTCCACCTCGGAAACAACCGGACTCTAATGAATATTCAAACAAAGGACTCTAATGAATATTCCAAGTGAGAAGTCCCAATGACCGGTCGGTGCGGAATGCCAATTTGCAGTTGAGTTATTCGTGGCGGGATGCAGATGAAGGTTGGGTGATCCGGCTCACAGCATTCCGAGGTTTTTTGCCGCCACCGATCGGTGCCGATTTTCGCTCAAAATGACAACAGGGCTGCGCGCCTCGGCTGATAACTAGCTAGCCCAAAAATGAAAAAGAGTAAAAATTGATTTCCAGATAGAGTGAAAAAAGACCTATCCGATGATATAAATAGGTCCTATTGACTTTCTCCCCACAACGATCTTTTTCGCCTACAAAATTACAAATTTTTTTTGTTTATTCATGGATAAATGCACTTTATGAGGGCATAATTAAAAAAAAAAAATGGTACCACTCGATAGCAAATGGCCTCTTCTATGACATATCCAAAAATAAGGGAAATTCTGGCCCTTAGGGCACTACAAAATCCAAAAAAATAGCGTATTTTACGTGTTTTTGCATATTTTTCGGGATTTTTTGCACCGGATGCACAAAAATGAAAAATCGGCTGTTATAGCGTTGTAGTGCACACTCGACTACATATACCTGCCAAATTTCACGTTTTCATCTTTACTCCACTTTGTGTTCTGAGCCGGTTTAGGTGTTAAGGCAAAATCGCTGCATAGGGCAATGCCGGATGCCGATTTTAATTTTTTTTTCATTTTTGAGACATATTGCGTTCATGTCAATATTAGATACTGATTTTTGCTCCAGATGACAAAATGCCCTTTCGTAAATTGACGTAATGACACCAACGTGTTTGAGTTCAACATGACGAAAATAAGGGAATTTTTGTTTCAGGACTAGCATTTAGGTGACAGCAGACCTGCCAGAATATGCTCCGACGTTTATTTGGCTAGAAACAGGTATGGAATCCGGATGCAGCGACGTCCCGTAACACGTTGCACATATGCGATTTTACTTAAATTTACGTTATATACATGACGTTCAAAGTCAATACGACTGAAAAGACAGAAATTATTTTTAAAATCGGCATCCGGCATTGCCCTATGCAGCGATGTTGCCTTAACACCTAAACCGGCTCAGAACACAAAGTGGAGTAAAGATGAAAATGTGAAATTTGGCAGGTATATGTAGTCGAGTGTGCACTACAACGCTATAACAGCCGATTTTTCATTTTTGTGCATCCGGTGCAAAAAATCCCGAAAAATATGCAAAAACACGTAAAATACGCTATTTTTTTGGATTTTGTAGTGCCCTAAGGGCCAGAATTTCCCTTATTTTTGGATATGTCATAGAAGAGGCTATTTGCTATCGAGTGGTACCATTTTTTTTTAAATTATGCCCTCATAAAGTGCATTTATCCATGAATAAACAAAAAAAATTTGTAATTTTGTAGGCGAAAAAGATCGTTGTGGGGAGAAAGTCAATAGGACCTATTTATATCATCGGATAGGTCTTTTTTCACTCTATCTGGAAATCAATTTTTACTCTTTTTCATTTTTGGGCTAGCTAGTTATCAGCCGAGGCGCGCAGCCCTGTTGCCATTTTGAGCGAAAATCGGCACCGATCGGTGGCGGCAAAAAACCTCGGAATGCTGTGCGGCTGAATTGCGGGAAATTGCACGGGGAATTGGTCCTGCTGGGTATGTATTTCTACGGCTGTCTGGTCCCACTGCGCCCGGTCTTTTTGTGAGGGAGATTTTTCACTTGGGGAGGAATCATTTTGCCAATTTTTTGTTTCCCCGATGCAAAATGGTACGTTTTTTGCCACCAGATCAGGTCCGTCACTGTAGTATGTGGCTATGGCCCAAGATACATGCAAAAGTTAAAAAAAAATCCGAGCTACTGATTTCTACAAAATCCAATTTTTTATGAATCCCTTTTCTGAACGCAACAGGCGACAGGAAATGTTGATTTCATCATTGAAAGGTCGCCTATATTTTATTTAATGTTTTCTCGAGAATTCTATGAAGGATTTCGACCTTATTTTCACGTTCCAGAAGACTTTTAAGTTCCTGAAAATCTCGACGTTTTTGCCATTTTCAGTTCGACAACATCCGCTGGCCCGCAAAATCCGACCCAAATCTGCTGCGAACAGCCCGTTCCGCCATTCTGAAGAACATCAAATGGGAAGAGGATTATGGCGCCAAGCTGTCGGCGTGGCTCTCCTCTTATGGCCATTAATTAATCTTGATAATTTTGTAATCATTTTGTCGGGAAAATAATGAGCACTCTGTCGCAACGAAAATCCGGCAAAATCAAATTGCTTTTTGCTTCTGCGACGCGATCAGCGACATCATGTTCATTATTTTCCCGACAGACTGATAGTAGTGTTTTCATAAAGTCCATAGACTTTTTTGTCGCTCATCGAAAAATCTCTGTTTTGCACTGTGCATTTCACTTTTTGCATGTTTTCGCACCGTGCATCAAATATCGCCGCATTCGCACAGTGCAAACCACTTTTTCGATTTTGCACTGTGCGAAAAAGCAAGAAGAGTCAATTTGCACGGTGCATGAGCGACAAAGGGGAAGAAGACAAACTGCACGGTGCGTTCGCGATCCTAGACCTTTAGGAAAGTGGATGGACAGAAATCGACGACGTGCACTGTGCGAAAACAAAAGTTTTCTTTGCACTGTGCAATTTTTTGCTTTTTGCACCGTGCAATAGGCTTTCTTCGGGCTGTCGCTCGCACCCTGAAATTTTTCGCACAGTGCAAACGCCAAAAACAGTCCAGCGACTTCCCGAAAGGACTCGCAAAACGCAAAAAAAAAAAATTTTTTTTAGTCTACGCACTTTATGAAAATCCTATTTTTTCCAAAACATGTTGCAACTGATGATCAAAAAAATAAATATTTATTGTTAAAGCGAATAAGAATACAGTTCCGGTAATGGAGCGGACGAATCAAGGAAATATGACACGAAATGTACAGAAAGATGACGTCGGCCGGCGCGGATCAATACACTCGCCGCACCAGTCGACTCAACGGACCGAGCGGTGACGTCACGTAGGGGATGATGTCATCGTCTTTTAGCGCGCAACTGAAAATTTTTAAAAAATTAGAATGCAAATTTTTTTGTAAGAACTTGTGTATTTAGGATGACTATTTAGTGTAGCTATGTAGTCAATTAAAACAAAATGAAAAACTTGTTATGGTAAGGAAATGAAATGCAAATTTGCCTAAAGTTTAAGTCATGTTAAAGTTCATTGTGGTTGCTTTTAGAAAATGTTGAAAAAAGTTCAAACAAGCGGACAAATAAAAACAGTTTTCGATAAATTCAAGGAAATGAGGCAAATGGTTTTGCTCAAACGACCCGCCACTATTTTATCGACAGACTGATCTAGTCCGTCCGTTCACGCCTGATGAAAAGATTCATAACGAAAAAATCAGACGTTCAGGATGGCTTCTGGCAGTGGCGTGGCTAGGGAGGCGGAGAGGATAACGGGATACATCCCTTTTCAGACCGGGGTCGAAAAAAAAATGGTAAGAGGGGACCAGGATAATTGAAAATTTTGTACATAGTGACCGCCTATACGCCCCTGACTTCTGGAATCCTGGGGTCACAGATTCGATGTTATCTCTGAATATAAATTTGTCGGGAAAATAATGAACATTCAGTGGGAACAAAAATCGCGTCGCCGAGAAAATAAACTGTGTCGCGGGAAAATCAAATAGCTTTTCACTTCAGCGATGCTATCGGCGCGAAATTCTGCTGATTCTTTTCCCGACAGACTAATAGTAGAGTAGATATGAAATTTCAAAAAAAAAATCGGTGGATAGCTTCCTTACATTTATGGTCGCATTCCTAACCCTTTTCCAAACTTTTGTCCCACCTATTTTAAAAAATTTTGTTTTTTGCTTATATGAGCTTTCTGGTTTTTACGGCTATGCATTCATTCAAGGTTTTAATACACTCCGATTCTAATAGAGAAGAAATGAAACTCTGATCTCAAGCAGCAAAGAAAATCTAGCCTGTTCCAAACGTTAGTCCCGGAGTATAAGTGTATAGTTCAGTCAGCTCTGAAACTCACCCATAAGTGAAGGTTCCGTAGGTTGCCTGCCGATTCACGGGCACGTCGAACCCGCCCTTCTCCTCTCCGCCGTCGAACAAGCAGGCTGTGACTTTCAGGAACCCGTCCTCGCACGACTTCTTGAGGTCTGCGATATCCTTCGGCACTATCACCTCCTCGCCGTCCGCGCATTCCTGCTGTGTGGAGGGATGGAGCAGGGTGGCGAAGGCAAGGCAGAATAACAATAAACTCGACATGTCTGTGATTATGTGGCGCTGCAAATGGAGGTAAATTTGGTGAAATTTGGGAGAAGATGGAGCGCGAAAAAAACATTTTGGGGAAATTTTGGACATACGATGGTAAGTAAATAGTCGTCAAAAATAAAAGTGTTATATATACTGCATGTAGCGATGAAAATAAAAATTTCAAGGAGATATCAGTCTGCCATGCGAAAAAACACACTACACAGATAACGATCCGAATTAAAAATGCACTGTGCAGTCTATGATGCGAATGAAAAATGCACTTTTTCGGCATCCTGCGCTCAGGTCTCGCTGAATACAACAAATGAAAAAATTCGTCATCAATCCCATTCCTCGACTCGCAACAACATCAAATATCAAGTTCTCACACCACAAAACACTTGGACCAAAATACGATAATCTTTCCACGTTGAACCATAAAACAGATTAAGTACAACGACGAAAAAAACGGAAACTTATAACCGCTTTTTTGGATACATCTTCCAACTGAAGACGGTTTTTTTCCCGGCCCAAACTCCAACCCGAATTGAGACAAAACGTCAGAAAAATATCCTCAATTTGAATGGGACGCTTAATTTTATATATTACAGTTAGACGGGAATATTTGATGAGGCATTTGAATGAGGAACGTCATGGAAAAAATCTGGCTGAGCGGATGAAGAGGCTAACGTCTGGCATTGAAGAGCTTCTTAGGGGCAAAACCCATTTATAAGTCTACGTACGGTAGGGATTTTGTGGAAATTTGAACCAGACTCTCGAAAATAGATGGGTTAGGAAGATTGCCAGACTTTATTCGAAATCTTTGCTGAATTATTTTAATTATATGGGTCCGATTTCAATTCCAGACGATCTGCTTGGTGCTACGTCGCTGCGGTTTAGTTCGAAGTGTTCGTACAGCGCAAGACGCTTTTTCAAGTCTGCACTGTGCAAATTCCTAGAGCCGCCGGAGCGACACAGTTGAAACTTGCTTATGCACAGTGCAAAAAGCAAAAAAAGTTAAATGCACGGAACAGAAATGAGGGTGTTTTCTGCACGACAAATGCCCGCAGTTTATGGGAGTACTGACACTAGTCGTTGCATTAAGTGCGTAGACTTCTTTTCGAAGCCCGCCGCGCGGAAAGCTTGCGGCAAAAATGGGCGAAGCTCGGCGTCGCGACACTTGCGGGCAACCACTTTGCGGGCAAAATTTGGGGGGTCACATTTGCGGGCAGCTGAGACACTTGCGGGCAGCCTGGGACACTTGCGGGTAACCGACATTTGCGGGCAGCCGACACTTGCGGGCAGCCGCCATTTGCGGGCAACAGGAAAAAACAATCACACAGACTGTATAGGAACTTTTGGAACTGTGGCCCGCAAATGTCGGCAAATTTCCAAAATGTCATAGCAATTTTTCCCCCTCCACCCTGTTACCCTCACAACCAGGTGTCGGTTGCCCGCAAATGTCGGCTGCCCGCAAATCTTCCAGGCTGCCCGCAACTGTCGACCCTGCCCGCAAATGTCCCAGGCTGCCCGCAAATGCTGGTGCTGGCCGCAAATGTCGGCTGCCCGCAAAGTTGCTGCCCGCAAAAAATTTTCCCGCAAACTGGTTGCCCGCAAGTGTGCGCCCGCCTTCCTGGACATTTTTTTCGCTGTCGCACAGTGCATCTTGAATTTTTGTCGCCAGCGCACTCTGGATTTTTGCCTTTGCGCACGGTGCAAGCCTCAAAAAGCCGTTTGCACTGTGCACATTTTTGAGGAAGATCGCAGCTGAGAAAAGCTTACGTCGCTGCGATATTCCAAATGTACAGTGCAAAACCAAAAAAGATGAGTGCACGGTGCAAGAATTCGCGAATTTTTGTGCACTGTGCGCGCCGCGACAAGTGTCCAGGCGCTTTGTGAAAATGCTAATAGTAGAAAAGCAAGGGAACAATGTGTAGCGCCGGTATATTAATTTATTATAGCAACCATCACTGCAAGCGCCAAACCCAAGTTTAGCGTGCTCCTTCTGCTAGAACTACAATATATACCTGTACGAAGACACCAACCATCCCACGTGTCGCCACCCCTCCAAATAAATCACACTTCTACAATTGCACATCATTTCCTACGCTTTAAACTTTAGAGTTTAACCCTCAAAGAGGAAAAAATATTCTCCAGGCTCCGCCCATTCCGAGTCCAAAACGGGAACGGAAACCACGCCGCCGGCGAAAGTGCAACATCAGACTTGAGCCAAATCTAATTTTAACAACCACATGTTCCTCGTCAATTTGCGCGTAAGGTACAGAATAAAAAAACGAAAATTTATTTTTCCGACCGTCGTATCAGACCTCCCACTCTCAGACGTGACCTTATACGGCAGGTGCACGGAGATTTTTTTGGCGTTTTGCATGTACGTTTGGACCGAACCACATACTGGCCCAGACGAGAAGTCGTGATTCTAATTAACTTGTCGCGGCGTAGGATACTGTCGCATTTTGAGGAAAAGTGATCTGACTCTGCGAAAAATGGGAATGGCGCGATAAAATATTATAGGTGTAAGGGAGGATTTGCGGAAAGTTAGCATTACGATTATACGTAGTTACGGTTATATGTGAACATTGAAACCTCTGCAGAACAGCTTGTAAGGCACTAAAATACCAATTCGTTATGACCGTCTGTCGGGAAAATAATGAGCACCGTGTCGCTGAGCCGGTCGCGTCGATGAAGCAAAGGCAATTTGATTTAGACACAATTCATTTTCTCGCCCGCGACGCTATCTTCAGTACCACCGTATGCTCATTATTTTCCCGACAGACTAATATTAATCGCTAAAAAAATTTAGGTTGCGCTTTCCAGTAGCGGCCGAAAGATTTAACGATCCTGTTTTGTTTTTTAGAGAGCAGGCGGAATGAGGAGAGTCACAGAGACGAGAAAAAGGTTTGTATCGATAAATTTTTTGTTTTATTCACGGAAAAAATCGATTTTTTATAGAGGAACTCTACGCTCGGACTTGAGAATTATTAACAGGGGAAGTACCCCAAGTGCGACGCTTAGATTTTGATGAAACTTGGCACAAATTTAGAATTATTTTTTCTAAAACATGTGCGACAATCCTAGCTCGCGCTTTGCAGAAACAACCGCGATTTTTAAATCGAAAATCGGCGAAAATTTGACAATTTTTGCCAAACTTTGGCTCGAAAAGTTTCATATCTATTTCTACCGTAAAGGGAAATGTTTCCACGAAAAATCAATTTTTCGGCGCGAAACTATTAGCAAACTTATGGCCAAAAAGTGTTTTTTCTCTCTGAACGCTCTCCACGCTTAGTGTACTCTCTCGGCGGCAAAATGATTTCTCTAAATTTGACCACCTTTCACCCTACTCAGTTTGTGTGCGTCACCTGTTCACACAAAGATTAAATTGCTTTACTGTACATGCAAAGAGAAGTACAAGCTTGCAAAGGAAGAAGTGATGATGAGAGCACGCCCATTGACAAAAATAAACCGCAAGTTTAACAATGTAAATACAAACTCAAAGACTACTTTTTGAGATCACTTTTTTTTAAGTTGTCGAGAACTCGACGCGAATTTTAAGCGGTCATGTAAAGGCTAGGAATGCGGGAAGTGTAAAGAACAAGTGAACGTAGAGTTGGCGTTCGTGATGTGGCACGAAATGTAGCAAAAGGTGTAACAACGTACATGTACCGCAAGACGAAACATATAGTATCAGACTGTCGGGAAAATAATGTGGATTTGTTGCAGCAAAGATCTCGCTTTGTCGTATTATTATGTGCCGCATTTTTCCGTCTTGTATGTATCAGCCTGTCGGGAAAATAATGAGCAAAATTCCCCTGTCCTAATCGTGTCGCTGAAATGGAAAGCAATTTAATTTCACTGCGACACAATTCATTTTCTCGGTGCCATTTTTGATGCGATAAAGTGCTCATTATTTTCCCGACAGACAGATGCTACTACTGAAAGAAAATTTCCTCAAGTGCAACGCTCAAATTTTCTTTAAATTTTGCGTACACTTCGGATATAGACCGCACATCAATTCCTGAAAATTTTAGCGCTTTTTTTGAGTAACCGGATGGCTTTGAAAGCTCGGCTAGCCCTAGGTTTAGAGGGATGCTGATCCTTCAAAATGTTATCAAAATTTTGATATCTCGTCTCAAAAACGAGGTATCGCAATTGGCGGGAAAAGTAAGGCGGTCCGAAACGGGCCTAAACGGGTCGGGTGGCCACCTCTGCTTTATTTAACGATCTTTAATATCCTAAAGATCGTAAAATAGGTCAACTACATACGTCACGACTTGAAATCTGACCTAATTAAAATAATTCAGTAAATATTTTGAATAAGATATGGATCATCCACTATTTCGGAAATTTTGAGTCCAAATTTCAGTAAAATACGTACCGTATACACTTGTTAAAGCGCTTTGACTGTAAAAAATCCACTCAAGAGAAGAGGCTAGCCACTTCATCCTTTAAGCCAGATGTTTTGCCATGCAGTTCTCCTGAACTCATTAATGTCTATTCGTCCCACATTTTTCCCATTTTTGGGATTGGAAATCACAATGGTTTCTGTAAAGCGTGGGCTAGCAGTCTATACCGTCTCTTCGGAAAAAGGCATAACCGAGGTTTTTCAATTGCTGGAAACTCCGAAGTGCCCCGATTTGGCAGAGTACGAAGCAACTCAAGTCTTGTCTCTTTGCCAGCCGCTGCTGGTCTCGGATTGGTGTAATTATAGTCCTCAAGGGTCGTAGAAGAGGATCCAGAATCGTGGTTGTCACTAGGTAGCAGTGACCACCCATTTTAATTCATCCTACAGGGTAGTGTTTTCATACAAAACTACTGCTTTTCTGCCCAAAACTAACAGGGGAAGTACTTCAAGTGTGACGCTCAGATTTTCTTTAAATTTTGCACACACATCGGGTATGGACTAAATATCAATTCCTGAAAGTTTTAGCTCGCGCTTTGCGGGCGCCGCCGAGATATTGAACGATTTTTGCCGCCGAGAGAGCACGCTCAACGTGGAG